GAATAAGATGAATAATATGATCAAGAATAATATCAACAATAACATGGTATAGTTATGTTTGCGTAAACATTTTGCGTAAGGGTGTTAGCTCACAAATTTGACGTTCACATTGAGATTAAATATTTGAATAAAATATTAAGATCTTTAAGAGATGTAAAAGACTTCGAGTGTGGAGACCTTCGAACAGGATGGGTTATTCAAGCGCTTGGGACTTAGAGAAAATTTCCAAATATTGAGGAGACTACCTTCGACCGAGATGTTGGCTGAGTATTAGTGAAGTTTTGAAATTCAAATAAAGGAGGGAGTAGTTACGCTTTCTCATGACTAAGCAAGACAAGTGGCATTCATCTAGCAAGTGACTACATGTAATATGACACTTGTCGGAGGCTGATGATTTTAGGAGGTTAAGGGTAGTTAGTTTTACTATTATAAATAAGAGTTCTAGGCATAGAATTCAGTGTGTTGTAATTTACTATTTGTACAAGTCACTCCTAAAATTACTCAAAGTATCCGAGTGTAGAGAAACGACTTTTAGGAGAATTGTACGTTATGTAAACACACCATCTTTACTTTTAATGAAATTTAATTCACTTGCTTAATTTTAAAGAGTTTCTCTTTACTTTTCCTGCAGTTACATCTTCCAGGCATTTTGCTTTACTTTGTTAAATACTTTTCTAAGTTCTTTACTTTATTTTCTGCAAGTTTACATCCTTTTTTACTTCAGTCGAACATTGCCTTTACATCAAGCCTTTTTCTCAAAACACTATCGAAGTGTGTAGTTTAGATAACTTAGTTCACATAAAAATTTAGCACATGTTCTAGGATCAATTTGATCAATCCTGTGAGTCACCAAAGTTAGATTTGAAAGATCAGCGGTTCTTTTCCAATTTTCACGGAAATAAAATGGCACGCCCGGTGGGTCCGTGCTAAAAGATTTCGTGAATATTTTGCAAAAAGTTTGCAAAACTGCAGTTTTAATTTGTCTTTGATAAAACTTCGTTATATGTTATTAAGAAGTGGCAAGTAGCCGCTATAAATGAAGAAAGAGCAAGAAGAAATTACACTGGGGATATGGCGAAAGATGCAAATCAGCCAAATAACCCAAATCCTCGAGGAGATGGTTCTAGTCTTCAGCCTAACAACACTAATTCTCATGATGGGTTGAGAAGTGACGTAGTTCCACCCTCAGTACCTTCGAATGGAGAGAAGATAATGCCTCCCGTGAGACTGGAACCGGTGCGATCAGTATTGGTCCAGGATCAACAAGTATAAGGGCCTACACCCAGCCCGTGTTGGAATATATTGGACCTCAAGTGACGAATCCCTAAACTCCGCCAGGAGAAAATTCGACGTCTAGACAGTTCGCCCCTCCAGGGTTTTCACAACTATTACCAAGAAACCCTCCATATGGAATGCCAACAACAGTAATGCAAGGCCTGCAGAATGCTCCCCTAATATTCTCAGACAACGCGATGGCTTCACCATTACAGGGATCAGGGTCTGGGGTAAACATTGGTCGAAACAACCAAAGTATGGGTGTGGGGGATTCCACTCAGGGCCCAAATCTGACCAATACTTTGATAGCCTGTTTGAGACAGCAAATGGATGAGAGCAACCTGCAAATTGTCAAAATCTTATCCTAAACTTTGGGAGAAACATTTCAGCCTCTGATCCAAAACACCAATCAGACTAACCAACAGTTAGCAGCGCAATTGGCACGGTTAGCAGAATTTATGGGTGTGCCAGCCACTGTCAGAAACGCAGCTAACATGGAAAACATTCCACGACAGGATTTAGGAAATCCACCTGAGGCCAATCTGGAGAATCAAGGGAGGGTCGAACTCCCTAGGCTTGAACCACACCCAAATACCAATCCTGGTAGTAGGAGACCCAGAGGTAATCATGGTAAATCAAAACCAAGATGCAGACAATCTCATCCAACAGGCTCGACGTAATAACATGGTCGTCGATAATAACTTAGCGGCTATGGTCGAAAGGATAATGGCTCGAAGGGGGTAAACGCTGGTTTTACTAGGCCAAATTATACGTCACCAATAGTAGATTATATTCTCCAGTCAGAATTACCTCTCAGGATGAAGGTGCCTAAATTCATAAAATTCTCAGGAGATACGACGGAGTCTACTGTCGAATATGTGGCTCGTTACATGATCGAAGCTGGAGAAATAGCAAATGATGAGAGCCTTAGGATAAAATACTTCCCCAGTTCTCTCACTAAAAATGCTTCCACTTGGTTTACAATTTTTCCCCCTAACTCAGTTTGTAATCGAACCCAGTTAGAACGTTTATTCCACGAACAGTTCTACATGTGGCAAACCAAGATTAGCTTAAAGGAACTAGCTAGTATAAAACGTAAGTTTTCTAAGCCGATAGAAGAATACTTGAATAGGTTCCGGCTACTCAAGGCTATGTGTGATAACGCGAAAACATATATATTAAATGCCATGATTTTATGCTACTAATAATTAATTTCACCCCGATTTCAGACCTCTCCGCATTGTTTGTTAAGTATTTTTTGCAGGTATACGAAGTTAACCCTCAAATGAAGCAAGACAAAGAAAAGAAATGTTAGAAGACACAAAACAGAAGAAAAAGAACGAAAAAATAGCAGAAATGAGATTTTGCTGATATGACGGTCGTCACAGGTCCCTCACGAGCGTCACGTGTGTGACGACCATCACGAGCGTCATGTGCATCACGAACGTCATATATCCTTCACGATCGTCACACTTGCAAAAACAGAATAACGTTCAAGTTTGAGAACGTGTCAGCAAAAGCCCAGAAAATATAATCACGACTCCCTGGATTCTCTCACCCTAAACTGCACTTCCTGAGGTATTTCACGTAAGAAACATCCACTATAAAAGGAGAGCTTGAGGACTGGAATAAGGGAGTCGCATTGAAGACCACGAAGTGCTGCCTAATTTACTACAAAAAGCCATTTTTTGTTCCTGCTTTCTTTTTCCTTTATTTTCCTTTAAAATTCCAGTTGTACTGTTTTCTTTAACTCTCCGTACGTTAATCGTCACCGAAGTAATAATCCTGCCGACATTGTGGGAGATTATTCAAGTGTCGAAGCAGAATTATTTACAGGTTCATTACTATTAATTAAGTTTCCATTTGCAATTATAATGTATGTTTACATATTCTGCTGTTTTTATTCAATTATGTCTGCTTTAAATTCCATGTCTAGCTAAACCGTATCGATCGGTATGTAATGAATTAGTAGGACGAGATTCGATAACATCCGGCGTTTTTCCATTTTTTCAAACTTGTTTCTGAACATAGTTTTTAATCTAAATTTATTAAACTAAACTTCGTCGCGACAACGAGAATTTGTTTATAGTAATCTCGCCACGACAGTGGGAGATTCATTAAGGTATGAACCGACATGCGAAAGCTGAGGCTAGGACCAGATAGTAAAAACCAGACGTTTATTTTAAATACAGCGAAAGCGCTTTAAAAGAGATTAGAACTCAATGGTTTTCAAAAAGCAATTTTAACCCCGAATGGGATAGCGAAAGCATACGTTCCAACTTAGAGTTGCGACTAGCGTCAACAACCAATGTGAGACAAAAGTCTTTAAACTGTTATTTTCTTTTGAAAACTATTTTGAATTTATTAAACCACGCCGGTGACTTGTCGAATCCTCGAAGAACTAAGGCATTTCATACCGATTTCCCGTATTAATATTCTAAGAAACCTTTTTGCCTTTCTTTAATTTAGACTTTACTTTTGCATCCTTTCCCTTAAACCATATCCAACCTAGCTAAACATAGTAACGCCCGAGAACACTAGTTTGATTACAAGTCCTTGTGGGATCGATATCTTTTATTACTACGCGATAGACTGTGCACTTGCAGTTAGTTCGGTTAGACTCAGAAAGTCGCGATTAATGTGTTTTACTCAAGTGCCTGAACACGAGTTAGTCGAAATGGCCGCTGGTGGCCTCGACTACTCTATTAGAAAGAAATTAGATACTCAGTACCTAAGAGACATGGCCCAACTAGCCGATAGGGTTCAACAGCTAGACCATCTTAAAGACGAAAATGCCAAATTCAATAAAAGTAAGAAAGTAACCTATGTCGAATATAACAAAAACATCGAAGGTGTACGTGAGGAACCATTATACTTCGATGAAAATGAAGTCGATGTTGCTGAATTAAAACAGGGACCTCCTTATGCTTGTAAAGTATTGGCTCCCCCACATGGGAAAAGTTTTGTCGAATATGAAAATAATGACAGATTCCCAAAGAAACATACACTTTCGATATCATTAAATGTGACGAAATTTTTGATTTGTTAGTTAAGGATGGACAAATGATAGTGTCACCTGGTGCTAAAATGTCATCTTTAGAACAAAGGAAAAAGAGAGAGTTTTGTAAATACCATAATTTTTTGGGTCATAAAACATCTCAATGTTTTCTTTTCAGGGATCTGATTCAGAATGCTATCCAAGAAGGAAGATAGAAGTTTGGAGAGAAAACAAATAGTCAGATGAAAGTCGACACTAATCCACTACAAGTAGTGGACTCTCACTACACCGAACCCACGGAGGCACATATGGTCGACCATCACTACTACAAATAATCTCATTTTATCTCGGGAACAAAGGAGATTTTACGTGGTTAATCAAACAAAGTAACGAAGAATGACATGAAAAACTGCCTCATTACCACAATTATGACAGATAGGAGATTGACGTAGAAGGTAACTTCACAATTATGACTAGAAACGTCTATTTTAATCTATGGTTGCAATTCACCACACGTTGCTGACAAATATAGTGTCAACATGAGAACACATTAGCTCTTAAAGTCAAAAACTCATGTTGAAATAAATGTCTTCACAAATCAGGTACTCTAAATTATTGTCTAGACTTTTACTAAAGTTTTCTTTATTGCTTCTTATCCAAAGTAGAAATTGGTTTCATCTGTTTGTGTAACCAATTTTCAATAACAGCATAGGCTGAAAGAGAGAACATGGCACCCTTGTTCATCCAAATTCAGAGGTGGATGATGCATACAAAGGTGTGGAAATTTGTTGGCTTTGCATCATCTATTGTTGGATTGGTTTGTTATGTTCTAAGTTCTTCCTTCAACCATCTGTTTGGAAATTGGAATTTCATGAAAATATTTCTTAACACCATTTTCAGTTTCATAATTTGTCTAATTATTTTGTTTGCAAGAACATGGCGAGACTCAAGAAGTCTTCGGTTCAAAGCTCATTCAGCATTTATGGTATTGGTAATTACCTCTTTCTATTCTTTTTTCTCCGATAAAGTTATAACAGGAAAACCAGATGCATATAGTTCAATTTCATATGCTGCCTTTGCTCTCATGTCACTTAGCTTATCAAGGCAACTTCAGTGTGGATTTGAAGTGGATCTTATGTACTTTTATCTAGGATGCTTAATTGTACAACTCATGAAGTTTAATTTATTGTTAGCTATTGCTGGAGTTTGTTACAGCTACTGTCTTATTATTCTTCGCACTTCTTTCACTTCCTTAAATGGGACATCAGAAAATCATTCTCTTGGACCCGAAGAACAACTAGTAGTCATTCAAGTTGATTCACAAGAACGAGAAAATAGCAATAGTGGTTGTGTCCTGCAACACTTTTATACAGATTTCGAACGGATGTTGCAACAGTTTCTAACGTGTATGAAAGAGTTACAGAAAAACAATTCAAACATTGAGAAAATGCTTTTGGAACAGGTGAAAGGTAACTATAAATTGGTAGTGGCTGACCACAACTTCATAATTGATGCTCTTTCACATGAAACAATTAATAACCTTCAAGAAACAGCAAAATTAATGGTTGATGCTGGATTTGAGAAAGTGTGCTACGAAGCTTACAACACTTTTCGTAAAGAATGGTTGAAAGATTTACTAAAGAATAAGTTATTAAGATTGGGAAAGATGGGATTTCAAGATTACGTAATTGGAAGATGGATAAAAACTTCAGAGGTTGCTCTTAGAGTATTATTTCCTAGTGAGCGCCGACTCTACAATTGTGTCTTCTCGGATTCAACATCTGCTTCTTCTGATCTCTATTTCTCAGAGTTATGTCGTGGAGCAACGATTGAACTTCTGAGTTTTGCAGATTCGTTTGCAAATCGAAGCCCCTCAGCGTGGCGTTTGTTTAAAATCCTCCACTTGTTAGAGACGCTGTGTGATCTAATTCCCGAATTTGAATCATTGTTCCATGAGTCTTTGGTGAATGAAGCAATAAAAATTAAGAGTAGATTGGGTGAAATATGTAGAAGCATTTTCATGGAATTCGGGGATATGATATTCCTTACATCGGATGCGGAGTTTGATTGTTGGGTTGATGGTGGCGTTCATCCAATGACCTGCGCGGCCACTGGCTACATTGTTATGGCTTTTTGGACAAGAAAGAACCTGGAGCAAATTTTAAGAGCACACTCCATGGTTGTTACTGATGGAGCGGGAACATCTTTATTCTATTCGCAGATGGAGTTGATAATGAAGCAATTTGAGAGAAAACTAGAAACTAAGTCAGAAGCTTATGAAGATCCTGCTTTGCGCTATCTTTTCATGATAAACAATCTATGTCACGTTAAGTGCAGATTGGGGACTTTTTGGGATGATAGGTTTTGTATAAACATGAGAAAATACTTTGAATTCTATTGTAGAAGTTCTTGGAATAAGGTGATAAACTTTTTGGATATGGATATAAAAGAGTCAGTGGCACCTAATTCTGAAATAGATTCAATGAAAGAAAAACTAAATTTGTTCAATCAAAAATTCAAGGAGGTGAGTGGAATACAGTCTAAATGGCGTGTTTTTGATGAGCAGCTAAGGAAACAAATGATAATGTTCATAGAAAGCATTTTGTTGCCGGCATATGAAAACTTCGTCAGTATGTTTCGGAATGTTGTTGGTAAAAACGCTGCCGACTATATAGAGTATGAAATGTCTGATATTCAATATCAACTCAATCAGTCATTTTTATTACAAGATGTTTGTCGAAGAATCATATGAAAATCAGTTAGTTAGTTAGTAAAGGTTTGTTAGTGTTTAGGATAGTTACTACTTTATAAAATGTATAAATAGAATACTTGGAAGTTAGATCTGAAAAGGAGAATGTTAAAAGTATTTCAAAAAAAAAAATCTTACTAATAGTTAATCTATAATATATATATATATATATATATATATATATATATATATATATATATATATATATATATATATATATATATATATATATATATATATATATATATATATATATATATATATATATATATATATATATATATATATATATATATATATATATATATATATATATATATATATATATATATATATATATATATATATATATATATATATATATATATATATATATATATATAAAAAGGCAAAATTTATTTTTTTTAACCTACTTTTCTATCAATTTTATCCTTATTTTAATGTATAATTTACACAATAATTTTTATTAAAACCACTATTACTATTTTTCACATAACTTCCTCCTATTAACTTCTTATTTAACTTTCTACTATTAACCTTTTATATAATTTTCATTTAAAATTATATTAAACAAAAATATATCATTTATATTGTTACGCGTGCATTAAAAAAGCTGACAGACGGGCAAGCGAGTGCCCGTCTGAACGCGAGGTGCCAATATTTTCTGCAGAATAAACTACATAACTTAATTCAGGTAAATATTCTTCCATATTTAGTTTTATTATTGATATCCCTTATGTAAATACAAGTTGCAAGTTGGTTGAGGATATATACTCAAATGCTTTAATTTTTTAGGATATATTTTGTCTAGAGCCAAAGACCCTAACCATTCGTAAATGCAACCAGATTTCTCTCTGGAACTAGTATTTCCCACAACTCAAAAGGACCAGAATAGGGCACCAGACAGAATCCCAACGTTCGCCACCCAGATCCAAGGGTCGAGCACAAACCTCGTCTCCCCGACGAGGTCACCAACCTACCTATAGACGTGACGCCCACTCCCCTCTTAGACCAGCAGCAGTAGCGACGACGAGTCTCGCAACCCGTTGTCCCAGGATATCATGGTCATGCGCCTCCCAAAGGGACTAGAGAAACCCCCTTCTCTAGGCACATACAATGGAACAACCGACCCCGACGAGTACATCGAAAACATTCATGTGTTGTTCGACTATGCGATGTCCTGGGCACCATCAAATGCAGGTTATTCCCGACCAAACTCAGGAAGGAGGCAATGACCTGGTACAAAGGGCTCCCTAACGACTCCATCACCTCATGGAGGCAACTGGGGAGACTCTTCTCCAGATATTTCACGGCCTCTCGCCGATATCCGAAGACCGAAGCCTCCCTCGAGGCCATCATTCAGACGACAGATGAACCCCTACGAGCCTACATTGAAAGATTCAATGAGGAGGTCGTCCAAGTCTCTACCACTGATGACATGAAAAGTTCCTGCTAGAACACAAGCTCCGTCCCCGCACAAAATTCACTAAAGTTGTCGGCATCCGGCCCCCGGCAACACTGGATGCTTTCCTCCTCAAAGCTCAAGCGTACATTCAGTACGAGAAAAAAGAGGCTGCCAACTCTGCTCGTGATTCTAGGCACAGGGAGAATGCCCTTCCGTCCAGATCCGACGAGCCCTTGACTAATGTCGAGGGGATAAAAAATGAGAAGACCGTCCCCGCGAGACCATGGACAACAAAGGACCCTCCGGAAGGTTCCACGAATACACTCCTCCTATAGTTTCGAGCGAGAAGATCTTCATTGAGTGCGCCAACTCAGAATTTCGCCAAGCAGGGGTCTGGTTCTCAAAGCAGATACCGTCCAAACCCAACATTGATAAGTCAAAATATTGTCGATTCCACAAGAGCCATGGCCATATGACGAAAGACTACATCCATCTAAAGGATGCCATTGAAATACTCATCAGGGACGAGCATCTGAAGCAGTTCGCCAAGCGAAAGGAAGCTCTTTGACCAGACGCCAAAGAAGCCCAAAACGTCAAGGAAGAAATGCCTTCATCCGAGGAACCAACCTCCAGGTCGCCTTGAGCATCTCACGACCTGAAGATTTCTGCATTCCCGAGGGGCTTAACGCCCTTCCATATTTTACCGTGCACAGCCCATGGGAGACATTCCCCTCCTCCATGGTCATCTCTGGAGGGGGTTTTAATAAAGTGACGGTAGGATCCGTCAAGAGGAAATTTGAGCACCTCATCAGCAGCAGCTCAAACCGGAACTCCACCATCGACAGGGTCCGCGGAGAGTCCGTCCCCATTTGCTTCTACCACGAGGAGTTCCTCGGTGGAGCCCCCAACACAAGTATCTCTCTGCTCGTAAGGGCATAAGTGGAAAACTTTGATGTTCGACGAATCCTCGTCGATCAAGGCAGCTTCGTTGACATTATGTACTTCTAGTTGTTCTCCATGCTCCAGCTAGATGAATCACATTTGACTCCCTACGTGGGCTATGACCTACAGGGTTTTAATGGACTAGTGACAAAGCCCTAGGGTTATGTTGAGCTAATCGTAACCTTCGGATCTGCCGAAATGGCCAGATCAATCAAGGTACAATTCTTGGTGATAGACTTCCCGTTATTATAATAGTGCATCTTCGGGCAACCAACTTTGGCTGAGCTGGTGGCCGTACCTTCAACGGTACACCTGAAGATGAAATATTACACCTCAAAAGATCTCGTTACAACTCTACACAGGGACATAGAAGCCTCGAGGAGATGCTTTGAAGCAACGTCCAAGGGACTGAATGCAATCGCCGCCAGATCAAAGAATCTTGCCCAGTCTCCTCTGCCCAGCAGCTCCGATGAGGCAAATCTGCTTCCTCGCGTCGATTCCATCGACCTCGACAGCCTCTTCTCCGAAGACGACCAGAAGACTCAGAGGGCAAAGGGGAAAGAGATTCAGTCATCTTCGACCACCCCCTCCAGTAGCAGCGAAGCCGGCCATCCAATGCGCTCCATCCTAGATGGAGAATTCGAGCTTGTCCCACTCGGTGACGACCCCAAGCGAGGAGTGAAGATTAGAGCCGGTCTCCCTGAGCTAGTGAGGAAACAATTGAGAGCATGCCTTTAGGAGAATGCAGACCTGTTTGCATGGAGTGTCGCATAGATGCCCGGAATGGACCCCAATGTGCCCTGTCACCATCTCACCATCGACCCCGCTGCCAGAGAAGTTGCCCAATGTAGACGACGGTAGTCCCTGGAAAAAATTGTGACTTCCGAGCAGGTTGTAAAAGACCTTTTAGAGGTAAGCTTTATATCTGAGGTCAAGTACACCACTTGAGTGTCTAATGTTGTACTCGTTAAAAATAATAATGGAAAATGGCGCATGTGTGTTGATTATACCGGTCTTAATAGGGCCTGCCCTAAAGACGCATACCCCCTCCCCAACATAGATAAACTAGTTGATATTTATGCTGATTTTAAATTGCTATCTTTCATGGACGCCTATTCGGGCTACAACTAGATACCCATGGCAAAAAGCGGCAAGAAGTACAGGGCCTTCATGACCAAATCGGGCAACTATTACTACAACGTAATGCTCTTTGGCCTGAAGAATGTCAGCGCTACCTACCAAAGGATGATGAACAAAGTCTTCCATGGAGAAATCAGGGACATGCTCGAAGTCTACATGGACGACATGATCGTGAAGTCCCATGACGAATCCGATCACACGACCCACTTGAGGAAGGTTTTCAAGCAGGCCAAGAAATACAGGATGCACTTTAATCCGGAGAAGTGCATGTTCGAGGTATGAATAGGCAAGTTCCTTAATTTCTATCTAACTGAATGAGGAATTGAACCTAACCCCGACAAGCGAAGAGCCTTCTCCGAGTTTCCCACGCCGAACTCAAAAAAGTTCATCCAGTCCCTCAACGGGTTGCTCACATCGCTTTCCCGCTTTGTAGTCAAATCTTCCCAGCACGCCCTCCCCTTCTTCAAACTCCTCCGCAAGAAAGCCACATTCGAATGGACAGAGGAATGTGGCAAAGCTCTCCTCCACTTGAAGCTAAGACTATCTGCACCCCTAGTCCTCTCCTGGCCAGAAAATGGGGAAACCCTCTTTCTATACCTCGTCGTCGCAACCGAGGCTGTGAGCGCCGCCCTAATCTATGAAACCCCTGATGGGTAGAAGCCCATATATTTCACAAGCAAGGTGCTGCAAGGGATAAAATTACGGTATCAACAGATAGAGAAGATGGCCATCGCCCTTATCAACACTACAAGGAGACTGAGGCACTATTTTCTAGCCCACACAATTGTGGTACGCACGGACCAGCCCATAAAGCAACTATTGGACCGCTTAGACATGGCCAAAACAATGCTCAAATGGTCGCTAGAACTATCAGAGTTTCACATCCGGTACGAGAGAAAAAAGGCCCTCAAGACACAAGCAATAACCGACTTCGTAGCAGAAATGACCTTGCCCAGCCAACCGAACGAGGGTGCCTGCAGGTGGGTCATATTTATTGACAGAGCATTCATCTCGGTGGGTGGCAGAGCAGACGTCATCCTAGAGAGCAAGGAGAGAATTCTCATCGAAGTCTCACTCACACTGTCTTTATCAACCTCCAAAAACCAAGCTGAATACGAAGCCTTCTTGGTCGGTCTACGCCTCGCCGAAGGTTTGGGAGCAGACAAAGTCGTCATCTGCATCGACTCTCAACTAGTGGCCCTCCGATTCCAGGGGGAGTACCAAGTCAAGAACGATAACTTATCTGAATACCTGACCCTGGTCAAGGAAAAGATGGCAAAGTTCACCTCCGTGGAAGTAAAACATGTTCCCTGCGAACACAATGTTCGAACAGACATCCTGTCAAAATTAGCCAGCACGAACAAGAAAGGGGGAAACAAATTCGTCATCCAGGAGATACTCCCACGAATCAGCATCGAGAGAATGTCCACGACCCTCGACGTGCACGTCGTCGACGATGACCACTGCTGGATGACCCCAGTATACAACTACCTAACTAAAAACGAGCTGCCATCTG